ACTAGTAAGTAGACCTTTCCACCTGAGTAAGACTCAAACCTGGGTAATATTAATACATCACTGTATACATATAATATAAAATATCCTAATTACACACCTGTGGTTTTCATAATTATTTTTGATTTTGTTTAATATTTTATATAGAATGTTTAATGTTTATTTATATTTTGGGTTCTCTATACTGTAGTTTCTAGTGCATCTTGTACATGAACAAGGAGGTTAGACATTCTACGACTTGGCACAAATTGTTTGTGGTTTGTACCCTTGGGGCGCATCAAAAATGTCTGTTTTTTTATTGTTTAGCACAGTAGCTATGTAGATAACTCATAACTAGAGATAGTTGCCAGGAAAAGTGGGAGATTTTCCACACTGCTGTACATACAGGGCTTGATATTCTGATGCCTGAGAAAGAAATTCGCACCTGTAGTGCGGACGCTCCTTGGATTGACCATAAGCTGAAGTCAATGATTTTGAAAAGACAAAAAGCGTTCAAATCATATGGCGGCGACTCTGCCCAATTCAAGTTCTTCCGAAATCTGGTTAACCGGGAAAGAAAGGCATGCAGAGCTAAATATTATGAAGTGAGAATTCAGAATTTAAGACAAGAAGCCCCAAAGAAATGGTGGGACGAAGTAAAGCGTCTGAGCGGCTCAAAAAGGAAAAATGGCGACCTTCTGAGCCAGATTGACGTGGAAGGTTTTTCAGAATTGTCATTAATAGAAAAGGCCAACACCATCAATGCCGCGTTTTTAGAACCGCTGGAGGAGTACAGACTGCCAACTCCACTAGAGTTTCTCCCCATGGAGGCGAATACAACACCAGAAATCCTGCACGTGGGTGAACAACGTGTTCAGAAGGTTCTGTCTCACCTTAACCCTGGGAAAGCGTGTGGGCCTGATAGAATTCCCAATTGGCTACTGAAGGAATATTCAGATGCAGTGGCTTTCCCAGTGACAGAAATCCTTAATGCCTCCTACTCCGAGCAGCATTTACCAAAAATGTGGAAGTTGGCTGACGTGACACCCCTGCCCAAAAAGAAATCAGTAAAGGAACTGAAAAAGGACCTAAGACCTATCTCGCTTACTCCATGCATTTCTAAGGTCGCAGAAGGGTTTATTGTGGACGACTACGTCAAACCAGCAGTTATGAGTATCATTGACGACAGCCAATACGGGGCAATACCAAACTCTTCCCACGACTATGGCCTTAATTAGCATGTTACATAATTGGTCAATTAACACTGATGGAAATGGCGCTACTATAAGAACAATCGTATTTGATTATCGAAAGGCCTTTGATTTTATCGACCATGAAATTCTGATTAGAAAACTGCGTACTAAGTGTAAATTGCCAGTTAGTATTACCAATTGGATAGTTGACTTTCTTTCTGATAGATCACAAAGAATTAAGCTGGCTGCGGAGTGCTTTTTGGAGTGGGGATCTGTGCCCTCCGAGTACCACAGGGCACAAAATTGGGCCCATGGTTATTTGTGCTTATGATAAATGACCTTGAAATCGCGTATCCACTATGGAAATACGTTGATGATACAACAGCCTCGGAGATGATACCAAAAGAGAGTGAAAGTCACGCCCAAAATATAGCAGATTGTGTTAGTGAGTGGTCACGAGAAAATAGAGTTCACTTGAATTCTGATAAGTGCAAAGAGCTTGGATCTCATTTTCTAAAAGGCCCGGGTTCTTTGATCCCATAGTAATTGAAGGCAAAGAGTTGGAGGTAGTTAGTAGCGTAAAGCTCCTGGGCCTTAATATAGCTAGCGACTTGACCTGGAACAGTCATATATCAGAAGTAATCAAAAAGGCCAGTAAGAGGTTGTATTTTTTAGTGCAACTAAAGAGAGCTAGGGTTCCCTTACAAGACCTAGTACTTTTCTACACATCATGTGTAAGATCTGTAACAGAGTACGCGATACCTGTCTTCTATAATGCACTTCCGCAATATCTGAAGAATGAGCTTTTACGTATTGAGAAACGGTCAATTTCCATTATAACTGCGGGGTGATTGCGCGGTTGCTCAAGATTTAGGAATACGACCCATCTTAGAACATTACAATTTCTATGTCAGAAGCTTTTTAAAGGTATCTTAGACAACCCTAGCCACAAGTTAAAGGCTTCTTCCACCCATACATAAACCCAGCTATAACTTCAAAAATAAGCGCCAATTTAATATGCCACGCCTTCGCACTTCGAGAACGATGAACACTTTTATATTTGCTATGGCAAGGAGGTTTAATGGCTAGATTTTTATCGATCACGATATCCTTTATTTTTTTGTTACGGCACGCGTGATAATTATAGTAATAATAATGATAATGATAATGTAGATACTTTTAATTAATTTAAATTTATTTTAATTAGTTTACATTTATAGCTAATGTATTTTATTTAATTTACTATCATGTTATTATATTGTAAATTGCTGGTATAATAAGACGTGTAATTAGGTTTTTGAATTTTAAATTTTAAATTTCTTGGATTGTAAAAATGTGTAATTCAGCCCTCGGGCTGCAAATGCATTTGAGATTAAACTATCTATCTATCTATCTATCTAGATATAATGTGGTACTTATGGTTATGCCAAACAAAATCAATCATTTACCTTACATATTTTTTATCCTCTACCATCAGGAAGCCGAATATGTGATTGTTGAAAGAGAACCCAAGAATAACATTTGGATCTATCATTGCAAATGTGTTGAAGGCACAAGGCAAACAGATTATTTGCAGTCACTGTCATCAACAGTCACAGGAGATAGTAAGTACAAGCATATAAACTGATATAAATAATTTATAAAAATGCTCCAATAAAATTGTTCATCCAAGTCACAGTTTAAATGTAGACAACAACTGTATCTCATGTGCACATTCATTAAGTGCCATTCATTTCTGTTTATACATTAGGAGGCAACTGCAGTTCCCATCCTCTTTCTTACAGCTTCTCTTTTTTATTGTTGCCAATTATTTCTCCAGCCTCCTTTAAGCACCCTCATGTACTAGTCAAATGCTTTTTCTATTGAATTCTAACAACCTGAGTTATGAAATGAAAGGCTCCAACTACTACTAACAGGATTATAAGCTGTCTTCATTTAGCTATTTTGTTTTGAATCTGACCCCTGTGTCTTTGACTGTGTCCCAGGCCCCTGTGCCATAATTTTCTTCTTTGCATTTCAGTATTAAATTGAGTAATAAATTATATCTAATAATAAGTATTGTTTATTAAATGTTTCTCACAGGTTTAACTGCAGCTAGTTCTGTTTATGGGAATTGCATCCATATTGAAGCCACTGAATAGTTGATAGAAAGCTTTGACAGGGAAAACAACGTCAGCCCTTCACTTGCCAGAGACACATATTCTCATGATCACACTTACCAAGTAAGATGATGAATTTTTTGCTTTAGAACAATAAAATTTTGGAATTATTACTAACATTAATCTTACTTTCGTCAACATTTTTCTGGTTATTTTTCACTCATCCTAATGATTTTGGTTGAAGTTAAATAATATTAGAGTATAATTTGTGTATTTAAACAGCTAGGCCCCCTTCAGAGTACAGCTGTTTATGAATCTTAGTTTATTATATTCTTGGAGAAATGAAAAGTGCATTATTTGCTGTAAGTAGCTGTAAACATCATATTTTTCCATTTGTATCTGTTATTTAAGTAAAGACTATCTGAAATGATTTTAGCATTTCCACAGTCTACTTACTTTTTGTTCTTGCTGTTTTTCTATCTCAGCAGGAACATCATGACTTATTGCCTCTGAATGGGAATAATTTTACCATTTTTATACATGGAAATAAACAGCATGGAGTAGTTGGCCTCCAGGGTGCACTTATCACTTGCTTTAGCTGTGATCACCAGCATCACAACTGTGAGCATGTAACAAAAGTAGCAGAATCTGAGGAAACAATGGAACACAAAATGCCTGATTTTCTGGGTGATTTTTTTGGCAGAGAGAAATTTTCAAGAGTCTACTGAATCAGTTGCAGCAGCCATCACTTGTAAAGAGTGGAAAATGAGAGCAGTATCTTGTAAAAAAAATACCATTCCATCTATCAACAACACAGAAAAACGTATTCTATAATATATTTTAGCTTACAGTATTTTAGATTGTAAATAGTTGTGAGGGCCACAAGTTTATTAGCCTTTGGCTATTAAGTGCCACCCTCTTTAAATAAAGGCTTTACTTACTTACTTACTAATTCTCCTCTCTGGAAGATGTTCTTTGTGGCAAAATGTCAACTACTGATTTGGTGCTGCTTACTCCCAACTTATCTCCCTCCTGCCCAAAGTGTTCATCACAGTGCATTAGTCAGACTACACAAGCTTTGTGCTTTTTGAAAAAGCAGACATGGTAATGTGAAGGTAAGAAACTCCTTGCATTAATTCCTTATCTCTTGAAGTGTTCAAGTAGTGTTCACTGTCATGAATGGGATAGAAATGGCTGAAAAATGAAAACCATACAAGCAAGGTTGTCCAGTTGATTGGATGATAGCTGTCAACAGCCTGGTGTGAGGGATCCATTAGGATGAAAACCCTCAGCTGACAGCAAGCCAAATGAATACAGGTGGACTGCTAAAACCAACACAAGGTTTTTGTATAACTCAAGCACAGGTATTTGTCAATCATGGATGGAAGCCAGAAATAAAACATTTTCTCCTCTTTGTTGCATAATTATTACCAACTTTTCATTGGTAATCCTATGTTTTAAATGCTAAAAAAAAAGCTTTTAAATTTGGAGGTGAAGTTAACAATGCATCAAAAAATAACAACATTCACCTTCCAGTTGTTGTCCATGGACCAAACTACTTGTCTGTGCTTAAGCTCCCTATTTACAATAATAATATAACTTACATTTATATATTATCCAAGCATAAATGTTCTGAATACAAAATGAAAAGGTTCATGCCTGTGGCTACTAACATGTCATGTATGAGTAATTTTATGTCATCTTATCATAAAATTTTTGTAATAAGCAAATAATGATTTCTGTATGTTTCATTTCAGTATTATATTATACTTGTGTTGAGGAAATCTGTGATGGAAAAGTGGAGTTTGATGGCTCAGAGCTCACTTTGTTAAACATGGGTTCCTACATTGTTTCTTATGAGGTGTTGAGGGATTTCATGTTTCATTTTCTTAAGAGGAGGTACATGTAACTTATTCTGTATCATAAATCAATTCTCTGTTGCAGTTGAAAAGTTGAAGTCTTACAGGCCTTCACACTTATTGCACATTACTTTGATGTTGTGTTGAGAATGGCATTATGAAAATTACATTATGTTGAATTTTTTTCAAGTAATCACATACCACCCAAAAGTTTACAATGAATTTGAAAATGACATTATTGTGACATCTGAATATCAAGTAATGTACTTAGTTCAATAAATTTAAATTTTTCTGGAACACACCCGGCAGATGCACTTACAAAAACAATTATAATTTACAACAATTATACTAAACAATCTAAGACTCATTTGTCTGCACATGATGGTTTACAATGAAAATGAGGTACCAGAAAAAAACAAATAATCAAAAAATTATTAGCTGAAGGTTCTGATTTGTTGTATCTCTGAAGTTTTGCTTGTGACATTAACTGAAAATCATTGTATCAAGAACAATGTAAAATTGTACATGTATGTCATCCAATTGTCTTTCAAAAAGCTATATTGAAATTATGTTCTCTTTTTTTAGGTGCATTCTATTTACATACTACAGTGTCTGGCAAGAGATCATGGCTGATGCAGATGTATTGGACTTCAAGAGATTGCTGCCATACCACCAATGGCATTTTGCTTGGTACAGTTTCCTGGACCTTCTTGACATAAACTATGAAGAGGGTTTTTGTTGTGCCATCTGTGGCAAAGATAACAGTTTGGACACTGTCATTTGTGATACTACAGCACTATCTTTCAGACAAGAGCCTTCTACTTCACTGAAGTCTAGTTATTCATCACTGAGTCCATCCACTGAACCACGAGAAACACAAAGATAAGTTTCTATTCTTCTGAATTTTTTTTCATATTTTATGCATCATTTATCCTATTATTTTGGTTCCCAGTATGATTCAAGGAGTTCTATTTTAGAGTGTGAGCATGATATAATATATTAATCTAGCTGTTGATGTGGAGACTATGACTTGATTCAGTTTGATTACTGATTAATATAATAATTTTAAATATTTTTAATCCTTCACCTTGGGCTGGCACCTTGTCGTGGTGGTGAAGCTTGTGTATCTCATTGACCCTGCAAAGACCTTGTAATAAGGTCTTCTTTTTCTGGATCAGTTGAGGGGTTGAGACCAGACTAAGACCAGCTCCAGTTCCTCCTACATTCCACTGGGATAGACTTTTAATGTGTCTAAATATCACCTGTTTTTATTTGCCTTATTTGAAGAGATCTGCATTTAGGCTAATTATTTAATAGTTTATGACATCAATAGGCATCGTGACAGGGTTTACCTTGCTGAAAAATATGGGTAATTGTGAAGAAGAGCTCCCCAAAAAACCTGTCGGCCGACTGTCGGTCAACTGTCGGCCGACAGGTTACCGACAGTCTACCGACAGCTAACCAACAGGTTACCGACAGGTTAGGAAAAAAGAAAAATTGTGTTAAAAACGAACAGTTAACGTGACATAACAATCCGTAATGGTGATGTATGACTCGACAGACTTCACCTACTTACCGATCGACGGCAAAGTTGAAAGTATGTAAAGAAACGTTTCTTCCAAAATGTTGTTATCAGATGCGTATAGGATATATCACTTGCGTAATTTACAACACACCAGACAATCTAAGAATCGCATTGGAAATTTAATCGAAAAACTCGGCCAAAAAACCATAAGCTACGTATCAATACAAACACTTTCGTTCAAATCGCCCAATAATGCAACGCTGCCTCTTATGGTATGTTATGTATGTATCAATAATGTTTACCTTGTGCATCGTCCTCTATCTTGCAGGTTTGGGATGAATTGCTATTTCCAATTTCAAGTTTAATAAATGATACAACTGTGAATCTTTTTACTCGTTATGTTAAGTAATAAATTACTATACGCAACAATTCGATAATTAGACTTGGATGCGTGATGCGATAATTGATTTAGGCGCGCACCGCTAAAATCATGATTCTACGAGTGAAGTATCTTGTATATTTCACCACTCACAAAACGGCTCCTTTAGGAGCCACCAAATCTTGAAAGTCAATTGTCAACGTATTACACATGTTGGATGTTGTATCAAGCGAAAACCGAGAGAAAACATTAAGGTTTGTGTTAACGTTTCACGGACAAGCTACCGACAAGCTACCGACAGGTTACCGACACGTTACCAACAGTCGGCCGACTGTCGGTCCACTGTCGGCCGACTGTCGGTCCACTGTCAGCCGACTGTCGGTCCACTGTCGGCCGACAGGTAGCCTATATTTCGGGCAAAACCTGTCGGCCGTCTGTCGGCCGACAAACGGCCGACAGTCGGCCGACTGTCGGCCGACAGACGACCAACTGTCGGCCGACTGTCGGCCGACAGTTGACCGACAGTCGGCCGACAGGTTTTTTGGGGAGCTCTTCTTCACAATTACCAAAATATGTCAGGTAGATGGTGGATCAAGTAGGCCGTGATGTTAGGAAAGTTACATTACAGACACAGTAATGACCTCTTTACACCTGGAGTTGCAGTGTTGTGCACCTGTCTCAGGTAGTTTTTTTTCCTGGTGCATTTCATTCTATGGATGTGATGTCTCTTTTCCAACACCTATTGCTGGATTTTTCAATGCACAAGGAAAAGCTTCCCTGGTGTGTGCACTTCTCCCCCAATTGGACTCCTTGGAAGCATTTTACCACAGACTCATTGGCAATGAACCAGTCAAGCAGTGTCCTGAACACATGCTTCTACTCCAGCAAACTTTTCCACTCCTGTTTGACATAGTTAGCATTGTGGAGGGAGATCAGCTTCCTGAGACCCTGACTGCATTAATTATTGACTTGTTGGAAAAAGTAAAGTCTCTGTTTGGCAGAAATGGATCAATATCAGATGCTGTGCAACTGGATGTACACCGCATAAATGATATAGAATACTATCCTTGCCTGCCTGTGGTAAGAAGTCATGGTGACTATTGCCTGGATGACACAACTCCAAACATCTGCACAAAGGGGAGTACTCGACACCCATCCTTACTTCCTGGAGTTTTCTTAGTGCACTGTAAACATGGTACAATAATGTCATGAATTTGTATTAATATTTGTATTAATTTCTATGACGAACAACATTGCTTCTGATATAAAAAATGTAAATTTCAGTTCACTCTGACCCCCAACTAGCTATTGTTACCCTTTGTATATTCCAGATTATCCTGACAAGCTCTGGGTTTACGCCCTGCCTGTGGTTTTAGTTATCAGGTTTAGGTTTTTCTCAACAAGTGTCATTTTCTTGAAAGACCAAAACTAATGCTTAGTTTCAAACGAATAACATCTGCAGCTGTCAAGTCAAAGAATTGCACAAATTAACTGACTTACCTGTTTTGTTTTGTTTTGTTTTGTTTGCTGTTTACTGACTTAATCGAAATTTTTCTCACAATTTATTGGCTAAATGGCATAATGACTTGTATAAATAAAGGTTGTTGATTTCTATTGACTAGTGATGTACCCCAGTTACACCCTCTCTTCAGCCTTCATTACATGTTCTTTCACAACATGCTTTCAGGCACTCAATGTACACGGTGTTGCTGTGATTATGTGTAAATTTATATCCTCTCTTTTGATTTCCATTTTAGGTGTAACTCATAGATTTCCTGCAATGCTCTGTAACAAATCTCCTAACATCCCATTTACAGTGTTTCAAATGCGTTTCTCACAAGGTAAGCTCAATTTAATGTGCTTGTGTATGTTGTGGCCTTTGATTGGATGCTGTTGTGCATGAAGAAAATTTCTTTTTATTACCTGGGCCCAGTTTAAAGGATGAATAACGCTATCCACTGGAAAATCACCATCCAGTGGATAGTGTTGTATGTTATCACAACACTTATAGGTAAATAGTGATTCATTTTGTGGATAGCATTGTGTTGCACTGCAGTTTGTCTTTTTGCTGTTGAATGATAATAAGGCGTTCTCCTTTTTGACGAGATGTCATGTAACCCTTTAACTCACAGATCAAATTTGTTTTTCTCCTTTCTGTCCACCCTACAATTCTTATCGTGTTAATTCAGAGAATTTAGTATTAGATCAACTAATTATCCCCAAATTGATCTTTTTCTTTATTCTCATCACTTATCTGGTTGATATTGTATTGATATTGTAAGGAGAAATTCTGTCTTGGTCACTCATGGGAGTTAAAGAAGATGCATTTTCCTCTAATGTTTTGTAAAATGTTCCTCTTTATTGGAGCAATTAGTGCTACAAAAGAAAACACAGTTAAGCACATCTATTTCATCATGAAATGGGTGATCATTGTACAGTTGAACCTGCATTAAGCTGCACCATATTAAACAGTTACCCTGTAATAAAGCAGTCACTTCTCAGTTTTTCTCTCCTTTATTACTGTAATTTTCACCTCTATTAAGTGGTCAATGGTCATCCTTGATTGAGTCCCAGCTTCCTGTTTTTATTGTTGTCTACTTGCATGTGTTGAACAATCACTTAAGCAGAACCTTGCAAATAAAACTAGGAATAGTACTTTGAGTTCAAAGGTGCTCAACATATTGCAAATTATCTAATTCTGTTGGGACAAATATTATGCACAAACATTACACAAGTCAATCAGCCTATGATTATGACCTAGAGGTCCAACTGATAGATAATAGTATACAGTAATTCTGCATCAGTGTTCTTTTTTATGCTATGTCACCATTTTGTTGATTCTGTTTACTGGTATTAAAAAGAGGCAATGGATTTTTTTAGCGAGCTTTGAATAACCTTTAAATTAAGTTATCAATTATGGCATAAAATAGCACTTTTACTGCATTTGACTTCTGTTCTGTGCAAACTGTTTAAGTGGTCTCCTTGCAATTCTGTGCAGGTGACTGCTTGATGTAGGTTTGACTGTATATGTTTGTAGCTTTTTCTTCATCAATCACTGTTACTCAACACTGATATTGTTCTGACTTTTCTATGCAGGAAAGAACAACATATCATGAAAAGGAAATCTCACAAGCTGTCCAGCAACATGAGCAGCAGTTTTTGGAGTTTGACTCATCATCAGAAAACTTATCAGCAAAAAATTTAGCCACAATTGTGGCTATAATGTTATTGCTAAAAAGGCTGCTGTGGCAAGTGCCACTATCAGTTGTAAAATGGAAGAAATGCATGATTCTTCAAAATTCAAGTACAAACAGGTCAATGTTAGTCTAGAGAATGATGAAGGAGTAAAAAATCTGCAGCTTCCAGTCATCATTCCAAAGGAAATTCTGGAAATTAGTGATCTTGTTGTACAAGTATACTTTTCAGTTGTAAATGTACTTTGGTATAATTTTTTAACATTCAGACAAGTTATTTTAGGGAGTATTTCTTATCATTATTTATCACTGTATTGACATTGTGAGCTAATTACATGTCGCTTTATGGACTCAAAGTTGACTTTTCTTCTTTTCAAACTTCTGATTGCTAATACTTTAAATTTCCAATTAACCTCTATCAAATCATCCACTTAATTTTTCTTTCCTCAACCTTAACTTGCCAGGTTGTTGATTCTTAGAAGAAAATGTGTGTATGCAAAGGCTCAGGAAATTTGTCCACTACAAAATGAATATAATTTTTGGCATCACCTGGCATTTCTCAGCAAATAGAGATATTTCTCAAGCAGGTTTGAATTAGGTGTCTCTGTTGATGAGATTTTCTTTCCCAAGATCTCAGTAGTAATTCTCCTTACTGTCTGCCATATAAGTTTTATGATGTTAGCTGAAAGAATTTGGTATTGAATCAACTAATATTGCCCCAATGGATGTTTTTTTAATTCTCATCACTTGTCTGCTTGATACTGTATTGATATTGTAAGGAGAAATTCTGTCTTTGTCAGTTATGAGAGTAAGAGGGTTTTAAAAGAGACTAAAAGATTTGTTCAATAAAAGTGTTTGGACACAAATTCTAATCACCTGCTTTTTCAAAAAAGTTTGTACAGATCAAAAGCATTCTTTCAAAAATGTGGAAAGTTACATTTTAATTCTAAAAACCTGCAAAAATCATGGAATGTGAAGGTGTTGGAAAAAAAAACAAAAACAAAAAACCAGAGGAAGTCTCCTTTGTCATCTTTTTTCGTAGCTGCAACAAGTGGAAATCTTTGTGAGGTTTCCTTGTCTCCTCTCCCCATTCTTTTTACCTGTGGGATATATTTCTTATCTCTGATTTATTTTCTGTTATTTTTGTGTGCTGAGTTCCACTGATTTCATGAATCTTGCTTTAAAAAAAGTTAACAGGTGTCCTTAAACTGGCCAGGAACCTTCTCAAGGATATATGGTACATTGATTACATGTGACTACACTTCCTTAGATATTTTACTGTTGTTTCAAGGCATGGGTTGAAAGAAGGAGGGGAAAATCATTCAATTTGAAATAGGGTATGGGGTTTTTTTTTAAGGGTTGCCTCATACCCTCACCTTGAGGCAGTCTCTTTGGTAAATTGGTAAATCCAGACTGATATTGAAAAGGCCACACCCCTTTGCCATAGCTTTCAAGTTGTGTCTAACAATTGAGGCCAAATGTATCTCGACACAAAGTTGAATTCGGTTTACAAAATTTATTGTACAGTCTTGACAAATTTGGAAGTCTGGCTCCATTTGTTAACCCTCTAACTCCCAGATCAAATTTGTAATTCTCCTAAATGTCAACCATACAATTCCTATAATGTTAGTTCAGAGAAATTAGTATTGGATCAACTTATTATCCCCAAATTGATATTTTACTTTATTCTCATCACTTATGTGGTGGACATTGCATTGATGTTGTAAGGAGAAATTCTGTCTTGGTCACTCATGGGAGTTTAAGGGTTAACAATAACTGGTAAGTTAAAATCTCAACAGGGTAAGTCTGATGCTTCATCAGATTTTGAATGCAAACTCTACAACATTATATTGAACAAGTAACAGGCCTTCTGTCTGAAAGCAAGATGATTTTATTTACAATTTGGTCTCATTTTTTCAATATTTTGCCCAAAGAGTGAAACTACTTGAACCGGTTTGCTTCAATAAAAAAAAAAGGCAGAGAACACGAGAAATGAAAAAATATCAAAAAAAGAATTGTAGAAAACATAAGAAATGAAAGAGAGAACCTGGCATTCTACCAGGTAATCTGTAATGTATACATTCATCTAATCCGTTTAAAATCTCACACAAAACTCCAAGCGATCAAAACATACAGAAGCATGGAGAGAATTTAGGATCGAAACTAACCAATCATAAAATGAAAAAGTTTCCTGAGAGGTCCGAGGTTTGATTGTTTTCTCTGCGAGAAGCTTTGTGTTTTTACTTCGATGTTATTGGTTTGTTTTTTAAAAAAAAAAAGATTGACATCGTTTGTTCTTAATAAACATGTTCATTGGTTCATTTTTCTTCATTTTGATCCGGTTCAAATAATCTCGCTGCTCTGAGCGCTTCACAGAGTAAGTTTGCTTTTATTAACGATTTGAGTTGTTGGGCTGTAATTATCACTGAGCTGGTTACCTCACAGTTATTTTGAATAGTAAGTGGTTCTAATAATTTATTTTTAGTTTTTAATTGGAATTGCTGAGGCCTAAATTATTAGCTGACACTTAGACTGACTATTGCTTAGTAAATTACGTGCCTTTTGCTCACCTGCTTTTGTGATGTTATTTAAGAAGAGGTTTAACATGCGTAGCTGACAGTTGTTGTTGTTGATGGCTTCAGCCAAGTGCTGTGCTCCAATGTCTGAGATTTTATTTCTGTAGAGGATTAACATGCGTAGCTGACAGTTGTTGTTGTTGATGGCTTCAGCTAAATACTTTGCTGCTTCATCTGTCAATTGATTTCCTGTGAGGTTTAACCAGCTCAGTTGAGATTCCCTACATTTTAACAATCTACAAATCTCCAAACAACCTAATGGACCAATGTTATTGACACTCAAATCTAAATGTGAAATTTGATGAACATTAATTACATTTACTAACGAAGAGCAATCAACAGCTGTGAGGTCACAACGAATAAAATTTACATAATTAAAGTTAATTTGTTGAAGTTTTCTCTGTGCTTCTGACTTCATTCTACTGTTTTCGTTTAAACATTTCATTAATGTCACTGCTAAATGTCGTTCGTCATCAGTCGGCCAGCAGGTCACTTTCGTTTTCTCTTCATTCCCTGTCCACTGTACGTTGTAGACTACGCTTTCTTTTTCTTCAGTTTTCACAGGAAGAAGGTCTGTGATAATTTCGCTTGGTAGGGTTTTTTTATTCTCCATTAATCCTGCTACAAACTGAAAAACCAGCTGCCATTTGCCTTCCTTAATGTTCATTTGAACAAAGGTTTTTAATTCTGTTTCACTCATGTTAGTTAGGTGCTTCGCAGCGAAAAACTCCTGCATTGTGAGATGAATAAAACAGAACTGTCCTTCGCTACTAAACGAGTCAACTTCACGGTCGGGTAAGCGGTGAAATAGAGCGCTGTCCTCCATTCTGCGTACTTCGTTTGCTCCAAAGATCAGCCTTCCTTCTTAAATTCCTTCAAATGCCAATTTTTCTAGTTTCTCCAATTTTTTTTCTACTTCGGGGGGCAATTCATCTGATTCAAAGTCTTCGTCAGTGAAAGGTTCATCGCGAAATTCTTCGTTGTGTCTCAAGTAGAAAATTTTCACGGCTCTCTTGTATATGCCTGTTAAACTTGTTGGTAGGTTAAGACCTCTTGGAGTATAGAACTTCACCATTTTAAAGAGACTTGAGCAAATGATGAAGCAACTCGCAGGAATGTAACAAAGAGATAAGATATTGATGTTGCTGGTGATGTGACGCTTTACTGTGTCGCCTGCTTCCTTGTCTTCTTCAGCAAATTTGGTTACGTATTCTTCGACTTGTTCGGATGAGAAGCCAAGGATCTCAAGTGTTTTGTCAAAACGAATACTTTCGATGCGTGACAGAGCTGTAGGTCTTGTTGTAGTTAAAACTGCTGCCCCTTTGAGAAGTATTCCAGTCGTTAGTTTGACATAAAGAGCCGAGAGGGGCATCTTCTCGTCTACGCTGTTTTTGAATTGAGGTTTCTTATTTTCCGTGCCGATCTTTGATTTATCTTTGAATTCATCAATTCCATCGAAAATAAGGAGAACTTTCTGCGGGTTTTCTAGGATGTAATTCCAGACTTCCTCATCCAGCTTGTTCCTGGGTGAGTATGTGGAGCGGGTCAGTAGCTCCCGAAGAGTAAGGTCGGATGCAGTGTTGAATAATCTGAATTTGACGAAGAAAGCAGCATCAAAGTGGATTTTGTCATCGGGTGTTTTATGGAATACTTTGTTAGATGCCCAGTCTCTAAGAATTTTTGTACAACAAAGTGTCTTTCCGATACCGGGACGACCGACGATCAAAATGTTTTTGTTTTCGTGATTAAGAATGTCCTCTGGCCCTCTCGGTGTTTCGTTTTTCTCACCCGACCTGGCGTAGATTTGCAAATTCTTCCGTCTGTCTTCAGTAAAGTCATATTCAGCCATGTCAGGTACAACAACAAGGTTTGTGTAAATCTGATCCAGAGTCAAATGTTTAGGTGGGTGTCCTTTGCCAGGAGGACTTGGAAAAAGCGACTGGAGTTGTGGAGGTTGATAAGTGTCGTCCATAATCATTTTCTTTGTATTCAGGATGAATTTCTGAAGCGGTGATTTTACGAATTGTTCAGGCCCGCTCGGTTGATGTGGGATGTTAGTCTCATGGTCTTTACTTTCCTCTACATGGTGAACTTCTTGTGGGATGTTTGTTTCTGTCCGTTCTTGCCGCTGAGGGTCATGTGGGTTGTTTGTTACAAGTTGTGTTCTTTCTTCTTGCTGTTGAGATTCTTCGGGAGGATTTAGATGAGATGCTTGAAACTTTGAGTTTTGCATGAAATCCCTTTCTTTGCATGCCCTAACAAAAATGTAGACGATTTCAATCAGAATGCCAACGACAAAAATTACATTTACTACAAGGACAGCGTCCATCCAGGAGGCTTTCTTTACCGCTCGTTGATTGTGACAAGCGTGCAAAGTCGAGTGGTGGGCGTTGTCAGATGAATTCGTTGGCTGAGTGGTTCCATCGGTTAAATGACAGTGAAACTTGGAGGGAAACTTTAAAGGATAAAGCAACTGAGTTTGTAGGATGATGAAAACAACTCCTAAAACAAGTCTTGTGAATAGTTGACTGCAGTAAGCGATAAAAAGCTTGTATCCCGTTGATAATGCGTTCTCTTGGTTGCGCGATTGTCTCTCTGGATCACCGTTACGAATGCTTCGCGACAGTCGATTGACTGTAGGTCTTACTATTTGAGAGTAGATAACACATACAAATATAATAAGGACGAAATTCACGATTACGAAGCCATAGACAGGCAAAGCGAATTTGTTGTATTGCTCCTGGTATTTCTCGTAACATATTCCCCGGACGAGGTCGATGTTTTGACTTTTCGCTGCGCCACAGCGGAAATCAAACCTGGGTTCGCTGTTTTCCATGTCGGCGAATATAGCAAGGAAGATGACACCAATCAGGATCCAAAAAACCACTGTCACATAATGAATTTTGCCGAACGTTTTTGGCTCCAAATAATCTAATAGTTTTTCCAGAGACATTTTGAGTGATTCTGTAACATTCGTTTGAAGACTGGTCTCCGTTTTAAATGAATTGCTATTTTGATCATGGCATATTTATGAGAAACGGAACTTTCGTTTGATTGGCTCTTTGAAAACTTTCAATTGTCAAAAGGGCAACACTTCATTCTCTAAAAATATTTACTGTGATATTTGTAACATTTGCAAAGGGGACTTAATAAAGTGATGGAAGTTGAAGGCCTAAAGTTGAGTTCATCATTTTATTTTGCAGACTATGATTCCGTTTAAGTCAAGCTTTTTACAACAAATCTTTGCCAAAATCTAGGAATATTTCGAGGTTTAAGTCCTTTGGCTTTGAGTGTTCAGTGCAAAACATTTCAGTTTTGTAAAGCGGGAAAGATTGTTTCTAAATTTATTATTTTACCACTTACCTTTTACACAAGAAGCTTGTCTTGTTTGATATTCTAGTCGTATGACTGATGAAACCAAAATTAAGAAACTGAAATAGGAGTTTCTCTGCAAAACAAAGATGAATACAAATAGCTATTGTAAGAAAGACGTAAAATCTCCCGTAAAATAGAAGTAAAATAGATGAAAAAAAATTGATCAACCGAAGAGGGAGAAACGGTAACCAAGTGTAAAGATTGAGCTCGATTTGTGCAGAACCCCCCCAAAAAGCCGTTTAGGAACCTGAAAATCAATCGCTCATCATCTTCTCCATAAATTAAGTGCACGAGGTAAAATTATCAAACAGACTAGATTTCCCCGCCTTGAATTAATTTGAAATTTAGCAAATTGTTACGATTTGAATATAATCTGCGTTACAACTGACACTGAAAAACGTTAAGCTACTTAGGACGGCGAAGGAAAAACATTAGGCGAGCTGGGCCAAACGGAGATTTTATCACAAGAAAAATTTCTGCTCATGTGATGAAAATTTCCATGAAAAAATATTTCAGCTTCGAATGGACTTATTTCACCTATCTTTTACACTAAGAACACTAGCGACGGTTACCATCTTTCTGAAAACTTGTTTTGCCGAAGATAACTGACCCCGCGCGTGAAACGCAATTTGTACATCGAGTTAACATTTGTAAACTTCTCATTACGTTTTTGGTCACATATTTTACATATCTATTTGATTAAATTCACACAGGCGTTTTGATTGTTATTCGACTTCTGGATAGATATGAATAAAATGAATGACTCAACACGCCAGAAGTATCGATGTTAATGCGCCAGAGATTTTTTATCCATAGGATACAAAGAAAATTTTGAAAAAAGGGGGAATTTATTAACGCTTTCCCTGCAAAACAGAGATGAATGACAATCTGGCAAGAATGAAAGAAAGTAACAGCTTTATTGTTAAACAAAAAATTGTTTAGAAAACCTAAAACAGAACTACGTGGCTTTTCAACTTCCCCGTAATTTTAATAAAAAACATGGCATCTTCATATCATTTTTTTACAAAGGTTTCATATTATTTTTTTAACAAACATTTCAGATTTAACAATCGGAATTTCCCGTTGATACATTGCGTGTCTGCCTTTACTCTTTCACTCTCAGACTCTGACACTTAAGAATTGTTTAACCTGTAATTTCTCCCCACAGTATCAATATATTCTTCAGTAAACAGTTTTGGAGAAAAAAGAAACTTATCAGCTGGATGGTGTCAAATTGACGCAACACTTCATTCTCTAGAACTATTTACTGTGATATTTGTAACATTTGCAAAGGAGACTTAGTAAGATGATAAAAAGTTAAAGGCCTAAATTTGAGTTTGTCATTTTATTTGCAGACTATGATAAGTTTAAGTCAAGTTTTTAGCAACAAATCTTTGCCAAAATCTAAGATTATTTTGAGGTTTAAATCCTCTGGCTTTGAATGTCCGGTGCGAAACATTTCAGTTTTGTAAAGCGGGAAAGATTGTTTCTAAATTTATTATTTTACTGCTAACCTTTTACACAAGAAGCTTGTCTTGTTCGATATTCTAGTCGTATGACTGATGAAACCAAAAGTAAGAAACTGAAATGAGAGTTTCTCTGCAAAACAAAGATGGACGCAAGTAGCTATTGTAAGAAAGTCGTAAAATCTTCTATAAAATAGAAGTAAAATAGGTGAAAAAAATTGATGAACCGAAGAGGTAAAAACGGTAACAAAGTGTAAAGATTGATTTTGATTTGTACAGAACAAATAAAAAAAGCCGTTTAGGAACCTGAAAATCAATCGCTCATCATCATCTTCATAAATTAAGGGCAAGAGTCTAAATTATCAAACAGACTAGATTTCCCCGCCTTGAATTAATTTGAAATTAAGCAATACTGTGCGATTTGTATCATACTCTCTGTTACAACTGACACTGAAGAACGTTAAGTTACTTAGGAAGGCCGAGGAAACAACACTAGACGAGCGGGGCCAAACGGAGATTTTATGACAAGAGGGATTCCTGTTCATGCGATAAACATTTTCACGAAAAAACATTTCAATTTCGAATGGCCTTATTTTACTCATTTTTTAAATTGGGAACACTAACAACGGTTACCATTTTTCTGAATGTAAATTCTTGTTTTGTCGAAGGTAACTGACCCCGCCCGTGAAACGCAATGTGTACATCGTGTTAACATTTGTAAACTTACATGACGTTTTTGGGCACAGACTGGCATGTCTGTTTGATTTAATTCACACAGACGGTTTGATTTTTATCCAACTGATGGATACACTGCAAAAAGTATGATTCTTAAAAAAGCGAAAAACACAAAAAGTAAGAGTGTTTGATCTGAAATATGAAGTTTTCACTGAAATTAGCGCAATTATGTCAACTAAGTGTACTTAGCTCTCAAATAAGAATCAATTTCCCTCAAAAAAGTTGAGGCCCCAAAACAAGAGAAAATTACCCCTTTTAAAATAATATTCCCTCAACAAAGAGTCACTTAAAATGCATTACACTTATATCAATGTCTTCTATTTCTTTTAGGTGTATCTAGCATAATCTTTATTTAAGCACGAAACAATTCATCAGCAATTACATTAACTAAAACTATTTAAAAATTAAAACACTAACTAATAACTAAAAGCTGTTTTCCGTGAATGCCGTGCGTTATAGAGTGGCATTGATCTTGCGTTTAAATAACCCCAGAGACTCTGTGTTCCTTATATCACATGGAAGACTATTCCATAATGTGGCTCCACTATAGCTAAAGCTTTTTCGATAATAGTTAGTGCGAGGTAGAGGAACATTGAGTTTATTTTCAGAGTCCCTGAGGTCATAAGCAGAGTTACGCCATCTAAACTTAGAATTAAGATATTCAGGAGCTAGCCCGTGCAGACATTTGAAAACTATGGTAACTCTATGAATTTCCAGCTGGCTTGTCAGATTTTTCCAACTTAAAAATTCAAGTAGCTTAGTTGCATCGGCATCATAGCTGGAAAATGTCAAAACACGGGCTGCTCTAATCTGTAATTTCTGCAGCTTATCTCGTAGCGTTATCCCACAGCTACCCCAGACAATGTCACAGTAATCAAAGTGAGGTTTTACTAAAGCTTGGTAAAGCAGATGTAAGGTCGATGCTGGGATCAGATGCCTGACTCGCTTTAGGCACCCGATACCAGAGGCAATCTTTTTTGTTAATTTTCGATGTGACTATGCCAATCGAGCCTATCGTCTATAATCACACCAAGCGATTTTGTAGAAGTAACCTGGATCACCTGAGTGCTGTTCATTCTAATTGTTGGTGAAGCTGTGAGAGTACCCAGTCTCTGCCTTGACCCTATTAGCATGAATTCGGTTTTTGTCATATTCAGTGTGAGTTTATTCGCTTGTAGCCAGTTGAAAACGTTTGTTAAGTCCTCATTCAGACAAAGCTGTATACTCTCAAGATCACCGCCCGCATATGTAAGGTGTGTGTCGTCAGCATATCTGCTCGGAGGTAGGTTCAAATTCCCTAAAGAAAGTACTTTAATATTTTACTTATTTTAAAATCCTTAAAAGAGAAGAATAACTATGAAGTTAAGTGAATTGCAATAAATTTATTTTGTTTTGCTGCACTGTGCACCAGGAACATGCATCCAACCCCCTCCTAAAATACTCAACAAAAACAGCATGATACCAGCACAAGCTGAGTTATAACCCAAATAATTGTTAATTAGGAGTTCTGTTGTTAATGTCTGAAAATGAAAGGAAGTAATAGAAACTTTAACCTTTAATTTAGATTTCATAAAATCAAATACGCCTTCGTTGGAAACCGTAGAATTCTACCTTAGTTTGAGTACACCGATCTACAAAATATAATAGATAAAATGAACAGTACGCTACGTTTAAAAACATTATAAACGAGCCAAAACAAAATAGCAGCAGAGAAAGTACAGTGGAATCAAGATTTTATGGAACATTCAAGATAAACAAAACTTTCTTCAAATAATTAGGTAGCTTTAGGAATCGGGGTAAAGTTACAATGTTCGACTGAGGGAAGGGAAACAGAATTTCAAGGGTTCGAGTTATCAGGAGGTTCGAAAAATAGGGATTCCACTGTACACTCACATGTCGTGGCTCCGATATGGGTGGGGCAACGTGCAGCCACAATCCACTATGGTGGACTCCTTGGCCTCTTCGAAAGGTAATAGCCCAAACAAACGCGGTGGTATCACGCAAAGCAGGTAAGGCACTGCATCTCATTGCGAATCGAATGTTGGGTGTTAAATCCTCGCCAAAACACGCAGTGCACCACACTTCCATGGCAGAAGGGAGCATATATGGTTGAAGGTGTTTCCTTGTCCTGTAAGTGGCAGCCAGATGATGTGAAAAGGCCCAATCTTCCCTGTCTGGCTGGAAGCAACAAGGAGGACTTTGTTTTGTGTTGTACCATACAGCCCCAGACAGTTCGCAGTGCTGTTGTATTGCTTTCTTTAAAAAGCTGGCAGCAAAGGTTACCTGCAAGAGTTCTTTAAAAAAAACTGCGGATGTCAGTATTGTAATGCCAACTTGCCTGGAGAAACGAGCTGATACCTGGTTATAATGAGATGATACAGATGTGGAATTGATTCAAAAGAATGTGAGCCAGTCCTTAAAACGAACAAGTCACAAGTTAGTTACATATATCAGTAAAATTCAAAGGCATTGAAGACTTGCCTTTAGACACTTTTTGTGACAATTTCTTGAATGGATTTGTCTTTAATTTCCTGAACCTCGTTTGGTGAAAGGCTTGCACAGGCTGCCCACTGCAAAGCATCGCCTCTATCAGTAAAATGCGTCGCATTCTGTAAAAAGAAATATAACCGAAGTACAAAGTAACTCGTTTTAAAGTTACTTTGTGAATGGAATAAAATTTTTCGAAATGCAGTTTAGTTACTTCTACAGAGAGGGTAATAAGTAACTACAGGAATGGTTAACATGACACTGAGATGGCTACTACAGATATTAGTCTATTGGACAGTTGTCAAATATGATTGAAAAACGTGAGCACAAAAAATTATTGTGTAATTATCAAAAGTGATCAAAGAATTTTGGGTTTTGCGAGCAGTCAATGAAACAAATGAAGTTGATGAAAAGAAATGAATTGACATGAATGGCAGTTAGTGTTTAGAGGATAAAGAAAAAAATCACAACCTTATATTGCTTGCTAAGTAATCTGAGAATATCAAAGTAGCAAATTTCTCTAACAGCTGGATTAAAATATTACTGTATAACAAGCAACCACATAAACAAGCAACTAAAGAAAGAACTAAGAAATGAATTTTCAAAGATTAATTTAAGATTGATTTATTATGCCTCAGTCTCAGCTTTGAAAAGGAGATCCAGAGAATGACCTCTGTTAAAGTTCACTTAAAACATAAAACAAGGACGTTAAAATTGTGCACTAATAAGCTTAGCAAACACAAAAAATAACTGATTGTTCTTACTGCATCAACAATGTGGTCATAGTGAGCGAGACCATACATTGCTGCACCCAGTCTAAAAATTTCAAAGTTACTTTCATGTCCAGACATGACTATGGATAGTGAATTATAGAAGCAGTTTCCATCCCCACTTGAGTAGAATGACTCCAGACCAAGCTCATAAATGGACTGGTCAACATAGCTGGAAAATCTCTAAAAGCAATAGAATATGAAGTTAATAACTACCAATGCAATAAAATTTATAAATGAAAATAATGATAATAGTAACAACAATAATGATGATGATGATTGTCCCAAGTTAATAACTTTTACTAAACTTTTTACCACTCTGGAAGTCTGCACTGATTCTCGCTGTTGATGAACTGACATGGAAAGATCTTTGAGAGATGTTCCAGGATGTGAGAAGATAAACTTAAGTTCACCTCCCAAGGCAATCTGACCATGCATCCTAAAATGTCCCTTGCAATTTGGTACTTTATGACTATGGATTTCAGTCTAGGAAAGAAAAAAACACCGTGCATTAATAGGTAAATCACAAATTGGTAAACAAAATAACATTCATATTTATAGTCAAAGGCTGTTAATTAACTCTCATGAATGGATTCCTCATTAAATGCCCCAACCCTAATCATTAAGTTGAAAAAAATACTTTTTGAACATCACACTAAAGAGCTGGAAATGGCCTGGCATTAGTGGACCCTTAAACAAACAATATCCACCTTTTGGAGTTAGTAGGACCAAACTGCTTGGACATAGCCCCCTTCCCAGGTTTCTAGCTAAACAACTGGTGTTAAAACTCTAGCTGACAGCTCATGAAATGACACAGAGAATGTTTAGGAATGGTAAATTCAAAATAAAATACTTGCATCCTAGACTAGATTAAATTGTGAAATAAATAAAATAGTATGTTTGTTTATTTTTTTGCCATACATACATGCACAAAAAAGTAATGAACAAAATGAAGTTTAATTAATAACAGGAAGCTTACATCTTCATCCAGTTTTCCTAGAATACTCAGCATGTTTGATGTTTGGATCTGATTCAGTTCACTGCAGGTTTGCAGTACAGATTGCCATACAAGACGAGGTTAGAAGTGGTGACAGCAGGTGTTGATGAAGGAGCAGGAGGGCAAATGGGGCTTGCAAAAACTTCAGGGGCAGATGAGGGAGGATCAGAAATAAAAACAGAAGCTGGTGTTGATGATACAGGAATGGGAATCACAGGACTATGAGCAGAATCATCTACTGTGATGTCAACCTCTTAAGGGTGCTGTTGTTGATTCCAATTTCTGTATGAATGCATGATTGAAATGAAATAAAAAAAGTAAAAAAGCTGACGTTTCGAGCGTTAGCCCTTCGTCAGAGCGATTAGAGGAATTGTGGGTTGTGTGTGGATTTATATGTAGAAAGTGGAGCTACGCCACGCCATATAAATCCACACACAACCCACAATTCCTCAAATCGCTCTGACGAAGGGCTAACGCTCGAAACGTCAGCTTTTTTACCCTTTACGGTGGCTAATTTACGTTTTCAACCCAGTTGTTAACACTAAATTACCTGCTATACTCTCCCACCGACGCAGCACCACAGTTTCTTTAGAAACTTACCCCTTTATTTAAATTGCACAGGGTCTTCTGATAGTATAAATACCACGCGATCACGATTCTCTGGGAAAGTCTGATATGCTCATTGCAAGAAAATAAAAGAGCATTGGAAGAATGAATGCCAGCGCCGAGAAATATACTTGCTGCTTTTTACAAAATATACTAAAATCAGAACAGTACCGCGTTTCTTCCCGCCATGATGAATGGGCCATTACAATATGTTGTGTATGTGTCATAAAGTGTACAAGCAGCTGGTGGTAATTTTCGTGGTTACGAGTAGAATCTGTGTTACCGAATACCTCCATTAACGGGTCATAAGTGCAACGGTACAAACATGGCCACCGAATCGGGCGCTAGACATAGAGATAATCAAAATGTCTTTCGTATTACTGACGTAAAAAAAAGAAAGAAGAAGATGATTTGAGGCCCGGGATACTTCTTGATATTCATTGGGACATATTGACTTTATTTGTAAACAGTGGATTTCCATGGCGAGGATTGACTCTACTGTGGGAGGTATCTCAAAATTTATGAAACGAAGTACAAGGTGAGCTATTACCCTGATTGGATGTAGATCAAGATATATACATACTCAAATTTGTTGAAAGGAACCATTAAGAAGAAACATATACCCATGTAATCAATACAAGTTTCATTTAACATTTATGCTAACTTTCAACTCGTCCATCGATGAGTGTTGTCGCTGCTGGTGTTATATGCTACCTAACTATGGATAAAAGGCTGGTTGAGGTAGTAAAAACCATTACCTGCCACATATCAGCCTTTCCATTTTTGATCGTGATTGACTTTGTGTACAGTTATCCCACACTGTCCAAAATCATTCATTGTTTAGTGGTGTCTTTGACATGTACAAAATTTGACGAACAAAATTCAAGACTTCGCGTATACAGAACAAATGGTTCGGTCCTATGCAAGAAAAATGTAACCAAAATCTTATGGCTGAAAAAATCATGTAGTCGAATGCTGTGGAAAACAGAAAGCAAAGTTCTTGTATGACCTAAGATCTTGTTCAAATGCTTACTGTTTTGCTTGTGAAAGATCAGCAAAATTAGAGATTCAATCTATAGAACTGGACTTGAAGGTAGTCAGTTTCTTAAATTTTTATACTGACCTAAATTTAGTCTTTGTTGAGTCATTTGTGCATTTCATTTGGAGCAATATTGGACAAAAATCTCCCTTTTTATTCCAAGACTTATGCAAAAGTCACTGATTGGCCAAAACCTTCTTGTATACTTTTCCAGAAAGTGAAATCTCATGACTGGCATTGTGTTGCACTGCAGTTTGTCTTTTTGCTGTTGAATGACAATAAGGTGCTTTTCTTTTTGATGAGATGCTATTTAACCCTTAAACTGACTCTCAGATCAAATTTGTAATTCTCCTTTCTGTCAGCCATACAATTCTTATCTATTAACTCAGATAATTTAGTATTGAATCAACTAATTATTCCCAAATTGATATTTTTCTTAATTGTCTTCACTTACCTGGTTGATATTGTATTGATATTGTAAGGAGAAACTCTGTCTTGGTCACTCATGGGAGTTAAAGGGTTAAAGAGACATAAGGTGTAGAAATTGATTACAATTAGTCAACCAGAGCTTTCAAGTCCATTTGCTGGCAAAGAGTGAGATCTCATGGGCATCATCTATCAAGGGTGGGAGGGGGAAGAGGGTATGGGGGCATGTTCCCACAGAAAATTGTGAAAAAAATGAAATAGCTGAGATGTGCATTCCTTTAATCTGAGAGAAAATTCTGCCATTAAAAAGTGTGTGACATGAGTGAAGGAGTAAATTATATTTGGAAGGATAATTAATTTTGTAGGTACTTAATGAAAGTACCTACAAGAATTTGCGATAGCAGTTTGCTATCGCAAATTCAACCAAATTAATATGAAACCTTAAAGGAGTGAGAAATACTGGCTTTAGCATGAGAGTGTAAGATTGAATTTGTTTGCAAGAGTCTCTCGCTCAATGCATGAGACTTGAGAGCTTTGAATCAACTCAACACATTTTGCATATTACAGCAATTTTTGCTATTGTTTTTTTTATTTACCCAGTAATTTACAGGGAATTCTTCAATTCATGCCATTTATTTATTAATGGTACTGTAAATTTTTAGTGGGTAGGGAGGTTCATCATAAAAGGAAATGACAGGATGGGGGCTGGAAGAATAAAATAACATTTCAATATTCCAAAAAGAAAAACATTTCCAAACTTGAATGTGTCTGTTCTATCTTTAGAATAATGTTCACCCACCAAGTGTCAAGCAAGAAAACAAAATCAAAAAGTGGAATTTAATACAATTAAAACAGAAGAACTGTATTTTCAAGGGGTTAAAAATAGTCATAATAAATGTAAGTTCATTATAATTTTTCTACCCTTTTTTTGTTAGGTCCCTGCCTGATTGTCTACGATGACGCTTGCAATTTGCATTTGTATTGTTTAAATTGGGATCCTGTCTTTTTCAAGAACTCTCCGTTCCTTGTGGATCGATTGCATTGGCAGGATCATACAGGTACGTAAATCACCCCAAAACTGGCTTTTTTGGTTTGGTCATCTTTAATCTTTGGTGTTCATTTAGCTTTGCTCTTGGGTCTATCCCCTCCTACCAACCCAATGGCAAAGTGTGTGACATGAGTGCATAAGAAACAACTGAAGGATTAAATTATATTTGGATGGATAATTAATTTTGTAGGTACTTTATGAAAACAGCAGTTTGCTATTTCAAATTCAACCAAATAAATATGAAACCTTAAAGGGGTGAGAAATACTTTACTTTAGCATGAGAGTGTAAGACTGAATTTGTTTGCGTGAGTCTCATGCTCAATACATGAGACTTGAGAGCTTCAAATCAACTCAACACATTTTGCATACTACAGCAATTTTTGCTGGTGTTTCTTTTATTTACCCAGTAATTTACAAGGAATCCTTCAATTCATGCCATTTATTTATTAATGGTACTGTAAATTTTTAGTGGGTAGAGAGGTTCATTGTAAAAGGAAATGACAGGATGGGGGCTGGAAGAATAAAATAACATTTCAATATTCCAAAAAGAAAAACATTTCCAAACTTGAATGTGTCTGTGCTATCTTTAGAATAATGTTCACCAACTGTCGAGCACGAAAGGAAAATCAAAAAGTGGAATTTAATACAATTAAAATAGAGAAACTTTATCTTCAAGGGGTTTAAGAACAAAGAGACAATTTTAATGCTGTAATCAATGCTGTCTCCACTGCCTTTGGTGTAAACTTCACCAAAAAACCTTTTTTTTTGATGAGGCAAACCCCTTGAGGAGGCTATAATACTGTTTTAAAAAGCAGCTCAACAGAATTGCCCATTACTCCTGCAAAAACAACCTCAAGTCTTTAAAGCCATCCAGAAGTACTGGTTATTAACCCTTTAACTCCCAGATCAAATTGGTAATTCTCCTTAATCTCAACCATACAGTTCTTATAATGTTAATTCAAAGAATTTAGTATTGGATCAAATAATTGTTCTCAAATTGATACTTTTCTTTATTCTCATCACTTATGTGGTTGATATTGTATTGATGTTGTAAGGAGAAATTCTGTCTTGGTTACTCATGGGAGTTAAAGAAGATGCATATTCCTCTAATGTTTTGTAAAATGTCCCTCTTTATTGGAGCAATTAGTGCTACAAAAGAAGACATAGTTAAACACATCTATTTCATCATGAAATGGGTGATCATTATACAGTTGAACCTGTATTAAGCTGCACCATATTAAACAGTTACCCTGTAATAAAGCAGTCACTTCTCAGTTTTTCTCTCCTTTATGACTGTAATTTTCACCTCTATTAAGTGGTCATGGTCATCCTTGATTGAGTCCCAGCTTCCTGTTTTTATTGTTTTCTACTTGCATGTGTTGAACAATCACTTAAGCAGAACCTCTCAAATAAAACTAGGAATAGCACTTTGAGTTCAAAGGTGCTCAACTTATTGCAAATTATCTAATTCTGTTGGGACAAATATTATGCACAAACATTACACAAGTCAATCAGCCTATGATTATGACCTAGAGGTCCAACTGATAGATAATGGTATACAGTAATTCTGCATCAGTGTTCTTTTTTATGTAATGTCACCATTTTGTTGATTCTGTTTACTGGTATTAAAAAAGAGGCAGTGGATTTTTTAGCGAGCTTTTGAATAACCTTTAAATTAAGTTATCAATTATGGCATAAAATAGTGCTTTTTACTGCATTTGACTTCTGTTCTGTGCAAACTGTTTAAGTGGTCTCCTTGCAATTCTGTGCAGGTGACTGCTTGATGCAGGTTTGACTGTATATGTTTGTAGCTTTTTCTTCATCAATCACTGTTACTCAACACTGATATTGTTCTCTTTTCTATGCAGGAAAGAACAACATATCATGAAAAGGAAATCTGACAAGCTGTCCAGCAACAGGAGCAGCAGTTTTTGGAGTTTGACTCATCATCAGAAAACTTATCAGCAAAAAATTTAGCCACAATTGTGGCTATAATGTTATTGCTAAAAAGGCTGCTGTGACAAGTGCCACTATCAGTTATAAAATGGAAGAAATGCATGATTCTTCAAAATTCAAGTACAAATGGGTCAATGTTAGTCTAGAGAATGATGAAGGAGTAAAAACTCTGCAGCTTCCAGTCATCGTTCCAAAGGAAATTCTGGAAAGTAGTGATCTTGTTGCACAAGTATACTTTTCAGTTGTAAATGTACTTTGGTATAATTTTTTAACATTCAGACAAGTTATTTTAGGGACTTTTTCCCATCATTTTTTATCACTGTATTGACATTGTGAGCTAATTACATGTTGCTTTATGGACTCAAAGTTTATTTTTCTTCTTTTTAAGCCTATAATTGCTAATACTGTAAATTTCCAATTAACCTCCATCAAAACATCCACTTAATTTTTCTTTCCTTTTACTGAACATTAAATTGCTAGGTTGTTGATTCTTAGAAGAAAATGTGTGTATGTAAAGGCTCAGGAAATTGTCCACTACAAATATAATTTTTGGCATCACCTGGCATTTCTAAACAAAAGAGATATTTCTCAAGCAGGTTTGAATTAGGTTTTCTGTGGAATTGAGTGGAAATTGGGTGTAGCCCTGCTCTGCACAGGTGTCTCTGTTGATGAGATTTTCACTTCCAAGATCTCAGTAGTAATTCTCCTTACTGTCTGCCATACAAGTTTTATGATGTTAGCTGAAAGAATTTGGTATTGGATCAACTAATATTGCCCTAATGGATGTTTTTTTAATTCTCATCACTTGTCTGCTTGATACTGTATTGATATTGTAAGGAGAAATTCTGTCTTTGTCAGTTATGAGAGTTAGAGGGTTTTAAAAGAAACTAAAAGATTTGTTCAATAAACGTGTTTGGACACAAATTCTAATCACCAGCTTTTTCAAAAAAGTTTGAACAGGTCAAAAGGCGGTGGCACGGTCATCTACTTTGCTGAATACTTAGATGCATATGAGCGTCGAGACATAAATGTAAACAACTCTCTAGAAGCTGCGTGGATTGACGTTACGGTGGCGTCTCAGAAACTTCTAGTTGCTTCAATGTATCGCCCACCCGATGACACTACGTTTTTAAATAAATTTTCTTCTACTTTGGATCGCATATGGATGAAACGAACGAATATAATTTTATTGGGGGACTTCAATTTTAATCTTTTGCCTAAATCCAGGGACACAGATTCTTCAACCTGGAAATTCCGTCAACTTTTGAATAGATTTAATCTAAAGAATGTCATCAACAAGGCAACAAGGATCACTGACACCTCCACAACGCTGATTGATTTGGTGATTTGCTCTGACACCTCAAAAATTTCTCACCAGGGTGTTTGTGATTTAGGAATCTCAGATCACCACTTAATATATGCAATCGTAAATCTCAAAAGAAAACGTCAGAAACCAACGCTCAAAACAGTCTACGATTATAAAAAAGTAGATCTAGACTCATTAAGAACGGACTTTGCTGCAGCCCCATGGAGTATCTGCAATGTCTTTCACAATCTGGACGATGCTACTTGGGCTTGGGAGTATTTATACAAGGACATTAAAGAAATCTCACCTTCATGCTCGACGAGTAAAGATAAGAAGAGGGGGCTACCCTGGATGAACTCTTCCATACGTAAAGAGCTGAACAATCGCTACAAATTACTCCTTAAAGCACAGAAAACACCGAAGGGCTCACAAGCCTGGATAGATTACAAGAAGGCAAGAAATAAATGCACCAAACTCCTTAGATTAGCGGAATCAAGTTATTGGCTAACAAAATTTAATGAGACAACCTCTGCTCGAGATTTTTGGAAGACAGTAAGATCTTTCGAGGGAAAACAAACAGCTACAAATATCGGACCGATTAAAGATAGTTCCGGAGTTATTCACGCAGACGATACATCAAAGGCCAACACTTTAAATTCCTTTTTGTCAATGTTGGAAAATCCCTCTCGAAATCAACACAAGATTCTTCAGTAAACTCTCCTTGTCAGTCCGCAAGAAAAAATCAGTGCCTCTCTTTATAACATAGCCCTTAACAGAGACCTTTTAAAATCTTCTCTAAGGTGTTTGAAACCTGGCAAGGCAGTGGACCTGATGACATATCCAGCAAAGAGCTGTACCTTATTGGAGACGCATTTTTGGATTGCTTTATGCCACTGGCTCAAAGAAGTATTTTGGAATGCAAACTCCCAGCCAGTGGAAACAGGCACAGGTAAAATGTCTTCACAAGAAGGGGAATACTCTCGACTGTGAAAACTACAGGCCTATTTCCCTTCTTAGCATTCCGGGCAAGCTATTGGAGAATGTTGTAAAGCCAACAACTTGATAACTTCTTATATAGCAACAATCTGATCTCCTTAAATCAATGGGGCTTCAGAAAAGGAAGCTCACCCGAGCTGCTCTTACTTTCCGTTACAGAACGATGGCGTTTAGCCTTGGATGAAAGCAATATTATTGGCGTAGTCTTTATTGATTTTCGGAAAGCGTTTGATTGCGTCAACCACACAGTTCTTATGGATAAATTACACTCTATAGGTATTAGTGGCTCTTTTTACGATTGGCTCTTAAATTATCTTGATAATCGTAAACAATTTGTCACCGTAAATGGTTCAAACTCAGAATTGTTGGAAATAGATACGGGTGTACCCCAAGGGTCTTTACTTGGTCCTAGACTTTACAGCATTTACTCAAATGATCTGCCCGGAGCCACAACGAACGCTTCCGTTGAAATGTTTGCAGATGATACTACTGTTTTTGCATTGGAAATACTGTTGATGAAGTTTTATTTAAGATACAGAAAGCGATCGTTGACTTAAACAAATGGGCTAAGGATAACTTCATGACTATTCATCCCGCAAAAAGTGAACTAATGTTGTTATCAAAATCAAGATTCATCGGACCCCTACAGAAAATTTGTTTAGGGCAAAATGAGTTGTCATTTGTTTCCAAAGCTACATGTTTAGGGATTCTTATCGATAATAAACTCTCTTGGTCGCCACATATAAAATCTTTGAGCAAA